TCTCCCTCTCCCACCCCCTCTGCTTGTGTTCCCTCTCTCACTGTGTCTCTCTCTGTCAAATAAATAAAATCTTAAAAAAACAAAACAAAACAAAAAACAAAAAGCCTACCCTTTCTTTGAAGAAGTCTCCATTTACTTTTGGTGTTCATTGTTAAGGAATATACCAAGTTATGAAACTTATTTTAATATTATATGTTAAAGTAGAGAAAAAATTAATGAAAATTGAATGGTCAGAGAAGGATTCAGAGAAGTGTGTTAAAGGATAAACATTTATTTATACATTGTTTTGTCCATTAATTAACTAGTTCATTTAAAAATTATTTTAGCCTTGACAATCTACCTTATACCACATCTGTGAGTAGCAGTTCACCAAGTAGGTAAGATGGCAAGGAAGGCAGTCCAAATGGAAAAAAGATCAAATACAAAGAGATCCCATAGAGGTATGGGAGGAATGGCATAAAATTGTGTTAGGGAGTTGTGAGTAGCTCAGTATGAATGAAATAAAGGGTTCAAGGAGGAAGAAATGGCTGATGATACCAGATCACAGGAAGATCTCAGGAAGCCTTGTGGGCTAAACCAGAATTAAAGATAGAGCGCTGTTGGGGCACCTGGGTGGCTCAGTCATTAAGCATCTGCCTTCTGCTCAGGTCGTTATCCCAGGGTCCTGGGATCGAGCCCCACATCGGGCTCCCTGCTCTGGGGGAAGCCTGCTTCTCCCTCTCCCACTCCCCCGGCTTGTGTTCTCTCTCTCTCGCTATCTCTGTCAAATAAATAAATAAAATCTTTAAAAATAAATAAATAAATAAAGATAGGGAGCTGTTTGAAGAGTCTTTAGCAAGAGAGTACTGTGAGAGCAGATTTTTCTGGAAGCAGAAATAAGGCTATGAGCCGGATGGCAAGGGGGAAAAGGAGAGTGGTGTGGTACCATAGGGATTATGAGCACAGACTTCGGAGTCTAATAGAAGCTCTGTGGATTACTAGCCCTGCCACTTTGGGGAATTTTTTTTACCTCTCTGAGCTTCAGTTTTCTTGTCTGTGTAAAAGGGATGTTAATAGCCCCTGGCTCATGGGGTTATTGTGAAGTTTAAATGAAATGCATATAAAACATTTAACATGATGCCTGAGACATAGTAAAAATATAATAAGCAAAATAAGAGATAAACCAGAGAAGTGCATTACAAATGAGAGAGACATTTTTCCTACTTAGTACCAGCTTTATTTTCCTCTCTTCTTTGTGTTACTTTAAAGTCCTCATGAATTTGGCCTACTGAGCGCTTCTCAAACAGATTTTTATTTGTATTCTTAGCAGAGTCTAGAAAATCTAAGCCCTGAGCAGCATCTCAGCTTCCTTGAATGATTACCCCAGGGCCCATTACCTTCACTCTGTCTGCAAATCAGGTTAGGCATCCAACCCACTCAGGAGAGGAGCTGGGACAGCTGCAGGCATTAGATGAATTCTCTTGATAGCACATAATCAAATTTGGTGGAGATGGTAGGCTCTCAGAGTCAAGTTGCTAAACTTGGCTAGAATAGGAGAAAACTGGGGTGATCGAATTTAAAGCATGGACCCTGATCGGATATACTAGTAAATGAAGAGTTGAGAACATCAGCATCATAACCCAAGGGGCCTATCACTGTAGGAATCACTAGCATATGAAGACATGCTCACCTTGTGCTCAGATCTGCGAGCCAGGGTCTGAAGCCAGTATCGCAGACCACTGATGAGAGACCTCCAGGCCACTTTCAACTTGAATGCAAATCTGGAACCCTGAGACTAGGTCATTCCACCAGCCTCACATTCTTGCATATTCAGTCACGTCACACATGTAGACAATTACCTGTTCTTTCCATAGCCTCCTCTCTGCACTGGTCTGATCTTGGTTTTCCACTGTTCCTTTCTCTATCCAAAACTTTCCACCTTTTCCTCTGAAACTCAGCTTTATGGTTAATAATCTCACTTGGGTTCTCAGTCTTTTAGTCCACTGCTTCCTTTACCTCTTCTCTTAATCAAACAATGCTTGGTGCTTGATATGTAACAAATGTTTGCTACATAAAACAATGAAGTAAGACCTGATATGGAGGCCATTTTTCCCCCCATTACCCTCTCAAGCGCTGCTCATTCTCTTACTCCACATACAGAAATATCAGGAGGAGATGACTTTTCTCTTCACTCCCCATGCACCTTCCAGGCCATTATTTCTGTCTCATCACTGGTAGCCCCAACATTTCAAATTAGGAAGGTCTTGGGTAGCAAGCTGGTTAGAAAGGAGGAGTGCCTAGGAGGGGCTTGTCTTAAAGTTAGATTTGCATTACAAGAAGACTGTTGTTATCTGCATATTTATTTGTGGTGGCTTTGGGAGTAAGAGGCAAATGGATTCTGTTGGTGGGCCCAAGCACATCCGTAGAGAGCCTTTGATACTACCACTGACATTTATGGTGCAAAGCCCTGTTCCTTTATTGCTTATGCTCTTCTCTATACCACTCCGCCCTCCTCAGCACTTTCAGGTTCTCAACCATTTTAGACTTTATGTCCCATCACTTCAGCCACTTTTTTCTAATACAGTCAAATCTGTCTTGTTATCTACACCTGTGCAGCTACTCTCCTGTCCTTCTGTCCACTATCATCGATTCCATGGACTGGCACAGTCATGATGCTTAACTTCTTTCACTCACTTGAAAGGTACCCTGTGACTTCAGGATAATTTTTAAATTCTTTAACATGGTTTATAGGATCCCTTTCCAGTCTGACTGCTGCCTTCCTCTTCAGACACATTTCTCATGATTTCCCTTCTCAGTCTTTGTGCTTCAGTCATGATGAATTCCTTTCAGTTCCAACGTTTTACTTGTTCTCTCTTGCCTCCTGGCTTTTGCATACACTCATATCTGGAATGCCAGAAGTTCATAACTTACCAAGAGGGATTATGGAGGAGTGTTCTAGGTACTAGACTTGGAATCATACAGAAACAAATTTGAGTCTCAGCTCTATCATTTACTTGTTCGAGATCATGGGTAAGCTCCCTAACTTTTATGAGCCTCCACGACCACATCTGCAAAGTGGGATAATACCCACTTTGAGATATGAGAATTAAATCAGGTACTGAATGAGCCCCAGAAACAACCCATACTGTGTATGTTCTGTTCATTCCTTCCTTTCTCTTTTCCCTTATTCTTCCCTCAATCCTTCTTTTCCTTTTTTCCCTCCTTAATTTTTGTCTTCTTCCCCTCTCTGCTTTTCACTTAATGTTTGGGTGAGATTCATAAGATCCAGGGCTACAGGCAAACAATACAAGCTGCCATATGTACAGAATTAGTGTCTTGCAACCTCTGCTCTTCCACAGGAAGCCCACAGCCTTACTTCCCACCCTGGCTACTTAGGCAGCCTCAGAAGGACACCAAGGTAGAAGCAAGATTCTGCAACAAACTACATGTTACAATGCTCTGGGAGCTCTTAACAATTTTCTGCAGGCTTTTTTACCTGGAGCCACCACCAATCTTGTTTTTTCTCAACCTCATCACCTATACCCTCCTCCTCACACTGTCCTCTACATACTCCTGTGTCTCATGGCTTCTCAGTTGAATTCCAAGCCCCTACAGGTGAGCCTTGCATCCTTCACCCACTGTGCCAGTAACCCTCAGAAACATACCTGCCTCTAAGGAGCTTCCAAACTGATCCTAGTGGATAAGACTTATGAAGCCATCAATAAAGAAGCAAGAGTTACTGCAAAATGTGGGAGCTGAACGGGCCTGGAATTGTCAGTGGATGATAATAGAAAAGGCACAGTTTGGGATGGGTGTTGTAGGATCAACAGGATTTTGAAGGCACAGAAATGAGAGGCATTCACTGCAGGAAAGCAGTGTGAATAATTTCGATGTCATACAGCATGAGAGGGTACAGTGAGCCTACGGTGTGGATGAATGTAAAGAAGTTATGGGAATTATGACTGGAACATTTTGCCTTTTCTCATGTATATGTTTCAGAGTTCCTTATTGGAGAATGAGCGTGATGACTTAGCAAAATGGCCTACACAGTATATTAGAAGCAGTATTTCCCAAAGTGCTTCTGTAGAAAATTAGTGTCATGGAATGGTCTGTAGGAAAACAACAATAATAATAATTTAAAGAAATGTTGAATATTCTTTCCTCCCCTTGAATATTTACAGTGCATATTAGCTTATTTTAAAAAGGTCTGAATTATCCTTATAATACAAAAACCTGACTTCCCTAGGAAAAGTAGGCCTCCCCTATTTATTTAAGTATAACATCACAGTCTTTAGTTGCCCTCAAGGCACCTTAAGAGTCTGTAACTATATTGTATATTTATTTTTAATATTTCATTGACTGCTTCCTCACCAGAGTATAGACTCCATGAAGACAAACATGTTGCCTATCTTATTTACCATTATACATCAAGAATATATTACAATGCCTAGGCATATAATAAGTGCTCAAAATAAGAGTAAACAATGACTAAAATCTTTGTTCAACTTTGCATTTTCCAAACAGCTGATAAAGGGTAGGACTGGAATTTGAACAAAGTGCTGCCAAATCCTGGTCTCTTTTTGACCATAGATGGTATGGTTCTTGTTCCCAGGCACCACGTGGAGTTCTTGATGTTATAGTTATTACCTTTTGAAGCTTGAATGATTGTCCAATATGCCCACATTTTTTTGTTTGTATCTTTCAGGCAAAGGCTGCCACCTAAAAATGTTTACTACTACCGGTGCCCGGACCATAGGAAGAATTATGTGATGTCCTTTGCATTTTGTTTTGACCGAGAAGAAGATATTTACCAGTTTGCTTACTGCTACCCATATACATACACACGCTTTCAGCATTACCTTGACAGCCTGCAAAAGAGAAACATGGATTACTTCTTTCGGGAGCAGCTGGGTCAGAGCGTGGTAAGGCCTACTCAGAAATAGGCAGCCTTGGGGGAGGAGCTTAGTAATGAGTTTTTATAGAATGCAAACAATGGATATTGATGCTTTGTATATGCTCTGGAACTTTTAAGTATAATTATTTTTATTGTGCTATTCTTTGCCTCTGTGGCCAAGAGGAAGTCACAGAATAAGATATGAGACAGATGCTTGTCCTTCTGAATTGAAGCTGATAATGCTCTCTAACAAAATACAAAAACTCTGCTGAGAAAAGAAGGAGGCTCCTACCAGGTGTTACAGGCCTGTTAAAGGCATGAAAGCATTTTATGAGTGTGAGCCTCTGAGATAAAAAATACATTTGTCTTTTAATGAATTCAACTTGCCTGCAGTGCAGGTTAGCAAGTGGTGTGCAGTTTGGTTGTGCTGCCCACAATGTGTTCTGTCTCTGCCATCCATCAGTTCCCAACACTTCTTCCCTCCCAGGTTTAGTTCTCTGGGTCTGGAGATTTCAGTCTTACATTCTGAATTATTTCCTATTGCTGGCATAACAAATTGCCATGAACTTGGTGGCTTACAACAACACAAATTTATTATCTTACGGTTCAGGAGAAGTCTGAAATTGGGTTAAAATCAAGGTATCAGCAGGTCTGCCTTCCTTTTGAAGGTTCCAGGACAGAATTCATTTCCCTGTTCTTTCCAGCTTCTAGAGGCTGTTTGCATTTCTTAGCTTGTAGTTCCCTTCCATCTTCAAAGCCAGCAATGGCTGGTTGAGTCTTTCTCACGCTGCATCACTCTGACACTGAATCTCCTGCCTCCCTCTTTTACTTATAAGGACCCTTGTGATTATGTTGGGCTCATCCAGACTATCCAAGATAATATCTCTATCTAGAGATCTTTAACTTAATCACTTTGGTAAAGTCCCTTTTGTCATATAAAGTAATATATTCACAGTTTTCTGGGATTAGAACATAGACATTTTGGGAAAGGGGTGCATTATTCTGCCTACTATTATTCTCTGTGGTCAGTGATACTTCAATTACTTGTAATGAATAAGCAGGTGACAAATTGTTTTTATGTTTCACTCTTTTTTATTTAAACTTCTGTGTTTAAGTTTATTTTTACATTTTTTTTAAATTTTTAAAATTTTATTATGTTATGTTAGTTACCACACAATACATCATTAGTTTTTGATGTGGTGATCCACGACCCATTGTTTTCATATAACACCTAGTGCTCCATGCAGTACATGCCCTCCTTAATACCCATC